GCAGTTTGTTACAACTAATCATTAACAGGGTTTTTCTTTCTCCATCATCCACCGTGAAATGCTGATATATGTGAGCAGCTGCTGAGAGGTTTTTCTTTCCTGATCAGTGGTTTAAAGATGCTCGTCCTCCCCACAGACTCTGATATTCAGCTTTCTTCCTGACATGATGTTTGCTGGTTAAAGTCTGTCTGTGGGTGAACAAAGACTTGTGTTAATTTTGTGATGATGTATTCGCTTTTGGTCTGACTCAGTGTTTTGCATACAAGTTTTTTCCTTATGTACAAACAAGCTGACATGATACACGTCCCAAGTTTGATGATTATTTGGCTGATTTTGGAGAGTAAAGATGAAAACTGTTGTTGTGAATGAGCCATATAAATAAAATTAAATAGAAACTGATTCAGTGAAATCTGTTGTTGAATTAAAAACAAATCAAACACACTTGCACTAATGCTAATGTGTTTATAAACAGCATTTTATTATTAACATTGCTGATGGTTATAAACAGTTTACATCAGTTGTAGTTCCTGATTCTGACCACTGGAGGGCAGTGAACACAAACTTTTATAATTTTACTAAATCACAAATAAAATACAAGTTCAGATAAAAACAGCAGCTGATCAGCTGATTACACACACACAGTGTGAAAAAGCATCACAGCAATGATTCAGCAGCTCCTCTACGTTATAAACAGGTTTTTGTAAAACAAATCAAATTTATTCTGATCACTGTGAAAGATAAATGTGCAGCTGACTGTGACTCAGTACATATATATTGTTTTGCCTTTGTTAAATATTGCAGTGAGAGCGAGAGTGTGGAGCAGACACACAGCAGGGTCAGAGGTCAAATCCAGGACTCTGCATTTAGCTGAGCATGTGGTCACCTGTTGAACCTGTGAGCTAAACTGGTGCCTGGATTCAGTCGTTTAGGAGAATTTACACACAGCACACAGTCACTAAGCTTCATTTGAGTTTTACTGACGCAGAGCTTTTTCAAACACCTTCTCAGCATCTTCAGCGAGCTCACTGAGGACAACATTCAGAACTTTGTAAGTTGTGATGAAAGAGAGACCCATGGCTACTGGGATTTCAATAAACGGAATAAATCTGGATGCTTCCTCTGCTGCAATTAATGCAGCTGTGCGTCCCACTTGGGTCATGACCTTCAAGAGGAGCTCTGTAGTTATTTCTGCTGCAGCCAGTGGTGAAATGATGACAGCACACAGATCAGCGTAGGGCACACCTGTTCTGTTAGAAAGTCTCTTCAGAGACGGGACATCGAGACTAAACGCATGAACATAATGTGTGACGGCACCAACCAGCAAAGCAGCATCAACAGCAATAGAAAGACCAGGAAGTGGAACAGCTGCTCCAGCTGCAGACAGAGTGGCCAACCAATATAATTGGCGCTTGAAAGCTTTTTTCTTCTTCCTGATGATCTCTGGGTTGATGTTGGGCATGATGAACAGCAGAGCATCTCTCTTCTTTGAAGGAAGGTCTCTCTCTAAGGTCTCATGTAAGAGAGAGAAGTCGTACAGGTGGAGCTCAAAGCTGGACACCAGGAACACCTGCGGAGACTCGAAGCCTAATCCTCCGAGTCCTGTTTCACAGAAGGAGTTAACATGGTTACACACATAAAAACAAATAATGTAAAGTTAAGACCTGAATATTAAAGTGAATCCATAAACTGATCAGACACTCACTGTGAACGCAGTCGTCTCTGATTACTTTGAGAGTCTCCTCTTCACTGAAGTCTCTCTTTCTTCTCTCAGCATTTATATCGTTGTCAATCTTTGAGTGAACAAAGTAGAACTTTTTCTTCATCTTCTGAATCTCCTGAGCCAGTTTCACGTCATTTTCCGTGAAGCAAGTGGCTGAGATGATGATGAAGAAGTCAAACTTCTCAAATCCAACAAGCTTCAGGTACTCATCAGCTGGATACTTGGTGGTGCCGATTCCAGGAAGATCCCACAACATAACATTGGGATAGTTTGGATGGGGGTACGCTGTGACCTCTGAGGTGGTTTCTGTAACACCAGTAGGAGCAGCTCCCTCCTCATCATCACATAGTCCTCTGAAGGCGTTAACAAAGGTGGATTTACCAGAGCCAGCTTCTCCTGTGATGGCGATATTTAGTGGGATATTATTTTGTTGTTTTAAATTTTCTTGAATCTTTGCAGCTGCTGCAGCAGTGTCGTTGTTCTGCAGGGCTTCTTTAACTCCAGGAATGTCTTCCATATATAAGTCATCTGGGTCCTCCATGCTGATCCTTAAACAAAGGAGAAAAAATGTGGAAAATGTGACTTTTTTTCTTGAACTGCAGAATTTGTGCTTAGTTACTTTAATTTGACATTTAAATTTAGTAATTGGTTATGATCGGATTAAACCAAAACCTGAAGATCAATCTTTAAAGTTGATTTTGAGGTGGGATCTCAGTTTTTGGAATATGTGTATTTTAAGTTTTGGGAGGCCACTGGAATAAAAATAAAACTAGTTTAACATGTTGCTCCACGAGAAGCTGTGAGTGTATCATCAGTCATGTAGTGACTGTTGTTGTTTAAATGTGAGGCTTTTAGACATGAAACAGACCATAAACATGGATGTTAGAAGAAAACTAGTAAAGGTCATGAATAAGACTGAAGGTGGGTCAGTGCTGATTCATATTAGCTCATAAAGCAGAGTTACTGAGACGTCTGTAGATTATTTGATTATTTATTTCAGTGTGCTGTGCAATTTTTTTAATCCCATTTAAAGATCGCTCCAACGTAAATTAATGAACACATCAGTTATTTCTTATTTCCACATTTTCTCCCATGATGCTCCTTTTATGGCCGATCATTTAACAAAGTGCTTAAAATGATAGTTTTGACCTTTGTTAAAAAAAAGAAGAAGAAGTGTATATGTGGCTAATGAAGCGCATCGTGCACAGTTTGCATTGTAAATATTAACCACAGTGAAACAAGTAACGGCAATAAAAACACGTACAGCTGAGCTGTGATGTCATCAAGTACACTGCAGCTCCATCTGTGCGTCCTGGAAAGTCTGGACTCCCAAGTCAAACTGCCGAGTACGAATCAGGAAGTTGTGAGCGATGCTTTCTGATACTGAGGAACACCTCTTAAAAATAATAAGAAACAAAAACTAGCTGTGACTCTACTTTTATGTTATTTACCGGTTATTTAAACGCAACTGCAACTTTGGCTTCAATCAGTCATTTTAGAAAGTTTATGGTAACCTGCAATCATCTGAAAGACTGAAAATAATTATTCTCATAGTTGGAGAGACCAAATGGTAAATGGCCTGTATTTGTATAGCGCTTTTACTAGTCCCGCCTATGGACCCCAAAGCGCTTTACACACCCAGTCATCCACCCATTCACACACTGGTGGAGGCAAGCTACAGTTGTAGCCACAGCCACAGGCTGACAGAAGCGAGGCTGCCATATCGCACCATCGCCCCTCTGGCCAACAGAAGGCGGTAGGTGAAGTGTCTTGCCCAAGGACACAACGACGAGACTGTCTGAGCCGGGGCTCGAACCGGCAACCTTCCGATTACAAGGCGAACTCCCAACTCTTGAGCCACGATCAACCAAGACTTTTAAAATCAGATTGTGCGTGACAGCAGCAAGAAGTTTGCAGAACGTGTGATCACATGATGGAGGTTTACCTGCGTGCTGTTGGAGTGATGATAAGAGCTGTACCCAGCAGTGAGTCTGGTGATGGATGGAGCTGGTGGAAGTCCGTGTGCGTACTGGTCTCTGACCACTGGAGAAACCAGCGTGACTTGGCAGGACGTCTGTCGTCCAGTCCAAGTGCTGGAAATCAGGGCCTCGATTCAGGCAACACCCTCAGACTCTGACAGCTGGAGCTGTGCAGGACCCTCTGGAGGCTTAATTGCTTTTTTATTTAAATGATCCAGACTGGCTCCAGGATAACTACTTTGTGTTAAATAACCACTGAGTAGTTAGTGTAGGGACTCCTCAGTAAATCTGTCTTTCTACCATCATCCACTGTGAAATATCCACTCTGATAAGAACTTTAGAGATGCTCCTCACCCTGTGGGATCTACTATCTAACCAACTTGTAACAGGACTGCTGCTGACTGATGTCTTGTGGTTGTTTGTTGTCTCAACTTCCGGTATGATGGCGCCTGTGTTTGGCCTTGCCGCTGCTGGCTGCAGTTTCCCTCGCTCTGTTATGCTGCTGTTTCTGACTGTCCTGCTCTCCGTCTTTGTCTCTGATGTATTGCCTGCCCTAGTCTATGATCGTCTGACACTACTGTCTATTCGCTCCTCTATGGTGGGCCAGGATATCGCTCCTTAATACAATGGCTTCTTCCCTCCTCCGTCGCCGGTGTCTGGATTTTTGACAGATGTCGCCAACAGCACCCTTTTGGGTCCACGCAAATCTCGGAGGAGGAGAGGTAAAAGAGCAGGTGTCCAAGTGAAATTTAGACTCCTCTTCAGACGAGGATTAGCGGGTAAGCGACGTCGAGCATTTCTGGTTACCTGTGCTCAGACTGCCCGTTTGGAGGAGAATTTGTTTTCCCCGTCCCTGCGATCCAGTGAAAAGGTCCAGGACACAGTTACACGATCACCAAACTAACCTGTTTTTGGACAAAAGAAAACCATGTAAGCATGAGGAATATGAGCCCAGCAATCTCTGTTAAAAAAAGCACTAACCACTGCACATTACTTTCTTATGTCTGTTATATAGGAGTTGCTGCTTACACCCTGAGTTACACAATGAGTCTTTCAGATGTCCCAAATGGACTGTCTGTGGCAGGTGTAGTCCTGCTGGACACCACATGGTCTTATTTTTATTAGCCCTCGACTCAGCTGCAACGTGCTTACAGTTAGTTACAGGTCAGTTTCCTTTTCATCAGAATTATCTGCTGTCATCCAGACATAAGCTGAGCAATCATTTAACCAATTTCCCATCAAACCATAAAGATTGATGGGAAAGTCACAGAACCATTGCTTGCATAGGGATGGGTATCGAAACCCAGTTCTTGTTGAGAACCGGTTCCCACTGTTTCAATTCCTTGGAATTGTTTGCCATTTTTGCAAAGGATTTCCAAAGCTAATTGACCTTAGTGTTCTCCTTTTTTAAAAATAAGAATCATTAAACAGAATCGAAAATGGAATTGTGAAAATCTTATCAACACCCATCCCTATGCTTGCATGTGTGCTGATAAAATGTTTTTTCCATATTAGATTTTAGTTTCTCTTGCATGCATAAGATGTGGGGGCTGGTCTCTTTGCTGTAATTTTCCATTGCACAAAAGAAACCACAAGTTCCCGTTTTATACGTTCAGCTATACCGCTCACTTTTGCTTTGTTGGTTCATTGAAAGGTCACGCCATATGTGGTGTGACTGGAGATGTCGTTCAGAGGTCGCGCCATATATGGTGTGATAGGAAATGTCACACACACACTCACTTGCTCACGTATGCGTGCCTTCACTGTCACTGTCATAACTAACAAAATGTTTTTATAACTGCTGTTGTCAATAAAAGAGGCAACATGGGAAGTCGGGTTCGAAGTTGGCTGAGATCAGGTGAAGAGCTTACAACTCTGAGACCCTGACCGGACATCTCTTGCCTCAAAAAAGACAAAGAGTGCTGTGTGGTCTTGCTTTGTTCACACGGATCGGTCTCTGAGTCAGCAGGGTTTACGTTTTAGACTCAACAAATTATGGTGGCCCCTAGAGACAAAGCACGTACAAAACTCCAAAACACTGTGTGTGTAAAAATTCTGTATTCATAGCTTAATTACAACCACAAACCCACAGATGTCCTGAAAGCAGTGTGTACGTGCTTTCTCTGTGACAGCAGAATGAAATCTGTGGCATTAATGACACAAACACAAGAACGACACATTCCTGTACGTGTCCTGTAGCTGTGAGTGGTTAAGTATGGTCACTGCTCCAAAGACGAGCGTGCACAGGGCACTACAAGCAGGATTCTGCAGAGACTTGAAACTCAAAGTGACTTGTGAGGTTTGAATTTTGTAGGGTTCTGGAGTCTGTGAACTGCCAGGCTGGGAAATATTCCTCTGTGTTTGTGCATAATGCCCTTGAACCCACTGACATTAGTTATGTAATTTCTGGTTTTACAGCCAGCTGTATGAGTACAATGTAGAGTCTTATCATAGTTGCAATAAGATGCAATGGCTAACAAACAGACATCATAATTCATCATACAATAACAACAACTGACAATGACTAATTAATATTGTGCTGAGCACAGTCCTTTTAAATTTAAATTTAAATGTAAAGTCTGAGTGGAGACTTTATATTTTCTGCTCCACTGATCAGTTTCTGGGAGAAATCAAAGATCAGCTGTTTAAAGTCAGACTTCATGTTTGATCTGTTTGATCATTTCTTTGTCTGTGAGTCTGAAAATGTTACAGACCAGCTGGAAACAGAAAAGATGACGCTGGATTTCAAGTTTCATCTGGTGCATGTACAGATAAACAGTGTAGCCACATTTATCCATAATGAAATTCTTTGGCTCGTTCTCCTCAGTTTTACATGAGCATATAGAGAGTGTGCAGTTATATACAGAAGAAAATAACAGAAATTAGCAGTAGTAATAATAATAATAATAATAATAATAACAATAATAATAATAATAATAACAAAAAGGAGAGGAAAAAAGTATTAAATATTAGAGAATTTACTTGGTATTTACATTTAAGACAAGTTGGTGTTTACAAGTTTGTGCAAGGTTGTGCAGTGAGTATTTAAGTAGCATTTGTTGAAGTGACAGTGTGTAGAGTCCTGTAATCGTAGTGGTGTGTATGGAATGTCAGCAGTTCAAAAGTCTTGCTTGTGGGTAAAAACTGTCCCTGTGTCTGGTAGTGCAGGTCTGGACGCTCCTGAACCGCCTGCAGGACCGACGGCAGGAGTCTGTGACTGGGGTCACTGGGATCAGAGAGGATCCACTGTGTCTTCCTCATGCAGCGCTGTCTGTATGAGGCATGGCTGGCAATTCAGTCCTGGTGATGTGCTGGGCTGATCTCACCACCCTCTGCAGAGCATTACAGCTGCCGTACCAAGTCGTGATGCAACCAGTCAGAATACGTTCAATGATGCATCGATAGAAGTTTGTAAGTATTCTGGGATTCATTTATGATATAGTCTGTATTCAGAGAGTGTGCGATGAGAGTGCAGTGATTCTATCACGTCCTCACCTCTGAGCACGTGATTTCTTGTAAATCAGCAGTTTTACGGATATTGCCATGGTCCATAAAATGTATCTTTCATATTCTGTTAACAAGCAACATGTTTTTCTTTTTCAACATTAAAGTAATTCAAACATAACAGTATGACTGAATTGTTTTTATTGCCCCTAATCAGCCCTGATCTCACTCACATACTCAGCGTTTTGCAGTTTCACTTTTAATTCTTTGAGGGGGCGGAGCTAAAGGACAAATATTAGTGGGGTGACAGAGTCGGAAACAGGAGCAGAAGCTACAAGACTCTACTGTGTGTGGACCAACCTCCAACCTGTCATCACTCCATCACAGCACGCAGATAAACTCCATCATTTGGTGAGTCTTTTCAGTTTCTGTCTCTGTGCAAAAATTACATTTCCTCCAATTCAATTTGATAGATATATATGTGTATATATGTATATATGTATATATGTGTATATATATATATATATATGTGTATGTGTTTAAGCTTGCTGCGGGAGATTTCACTTGTCATGTTTGCATGGTAAGCTAACGATTGATAAGACGATGTCAGAGGAATTGGTGCGCAAATTATCATCACTCACCAATCAGT